ATCTATCTCTATCTCTATCTATCTATCTATCTATCTATCTATCTATCTATCTATCTATCTATCTTGCGCGCACGCGCACACACACACACACACTGTTGAGAAAGAGATCGTTGATGATGTAGATGGTCTGGTCACAAAGCTGGTAAGAGTGTAGCAGTGGGCAAGCAGTTCAGGGGGAGAAGGGATGGCAAAAGCAATTGGAGAACTGTGGAGAGAGAGAGAGAGAGAGAGAGAGAGAGAGAGAGAGAGAGAGAGAGAAAGTAGTGGGGGAAAGAAGATGAATGCAGGTGTTCATCTGATACTAGAGGTTTCATTTCCCCTGCCGGAGATACCTGTGTTTCTAGAAGCAGCTAGTGGAGTATGCAGGGTCCTGGATGTGTAGTTTTGAGCCCTTGCCCTTGACTCTTACTGGGATGGAGAATCTTATCGTCCTCTGAATCTCTTTATGGGCAGGTGGGGCCTCGATGATACCCCAATACCGTCGAGGCCCCACAGGTGGGGCATTTTTGTCAATCTCCTGAAGTGTGGGAGTCATGGGACAAAAGCAATGGCCAGGTTTTGTTCAGCAGATCGCAGCAGATCTCATTGGATTTAAGTGGAGGTCCGGCGCGGCCACCTTGGGTCAAGGAGGACCGTGCTTGGGATGTCCGTTTCTTCGCATGCATCAGTGCCATCGATGGAACTGATGACTAGCAAATGGTTCGATAGAGGTAGGCGAGGGAGGGGAAGAGGGGGAGAGGGGGTGGAGGGGAGGGGAGGGAAGAACGTAGCAGCCCGTAGGGAGGAGGGTTTCTCACCTCCATTGGTCGCATTCTACGTTTTCTTAATCCCCTTTACAGATAGCGACCCGGGTAGCGGAAGGTTGCGTGTTCGATTCGCGGATAGGAGAGTGCAGCTGCTCTACCTGTACAGGCTCTACAGGGCAGAGGTGGCGCAGCCTCAAGAGAGGATTAGTGGCCCCTTTGGTGAGATTGACGGTCCCTTCTGGTGGGAAGGGATCCAGGTAGGGATCCAGGTAGGGATCCAGGTAGGGATCCGGGTAGGGAGTAGAAACAAATGGGTTGACGGACAGAGGTGGGCAGGGGAGGAGAGGAGTTGCGAGTTGCTCCATATTTTGTTGACGTCAACCCCCTTGGGACACAAATTGGCAGCGAGGGGGCCCACGGCCCGCTCGGATTAGTTATGCACCTTTAGTCCCTCTGTTAGTGGGTTGATCAGATTCTGCGCTTACTCGTGCAGACGGCGAGTGCCGCAGGTAGGTAGTCCGTTGCAATCGGGTCGACTTCAATAAATTATGGAGTAGGTGGACTACGACAGGAACGGAAACTCGGTTGGGATTTCGGTATGCTTAGCAGACTGACGGGGCTGATAGAAGCAGGAGAAGGAGATCGAGATGTAGATGGAAACGGTGATGGAGATGGAGAGATGAAGACGTGGGGAAATGGCGAGATGGCGAGATGGAGAGTTGAAGAGATGGAGAGATGGAGAGATGGAGAGATGGAGGAGATCGAGAGACGGAGAGATCAAGAGACGGAGAGACGGAGGAGATGGAGGATGGAGATGGAGAGATGGAGAGACGGAGAGATGGAGGAGATGGAGATGGAGATAGATGGAGATGGAGAGATGGGGAGATGGAGAGATGGAGAAATGGAGAGATGGAGAGATGGAGAGATGGAGAGCAGAGAAGGTGACAGAAACAAGTGTGGGCAGATCTGCCAGTTGCAGGTGGGTAGTGAGTTTGATGACCTGGTTTTCAGTTTCGGAGAACTGGAAAAACTACCCACCACTCTCACACACACACACACTCACACACACCCCACAAAAAAAAAAAAAGAAGGGAACTGAATTCAACCGATGTCATTGCCACGAAGACAGGAAAACCGGACACTTAGCAGTAGTATCGTTTGCCAATCAACAAGCAAAGTGAAAAAGAATAAGAAGAAGAAGAAGAAGAAGAAGAAGTAGTTATCACTTGGAAGCTGGAACTTAGAAGTCATCTTTTTTATCTTGGAAAATTTTCATTTACAGTAAGTAGCAAGGGAAGTAGCCTGACAGCCATAGCCACCACTTTGAAAGGATGGATACCATTTGATGTTGTTGTCATCGTTGTCGGTAGCAGGTTGTCCACTTGTCATGGTTGTGTGTGTCAATATGACGGTGTCATTATTATTGAGGCGGAGGCTCGCGGAGCTCTCTCGGCTCACATGGTTTTGATTGAACATTTTTTGGGAATTGCTGTGTCATTGAGATAAACATTGATTAGTGTGAATTATCGATTTTTTTATTTCTTTTTACGAATTGATTTTTTCAACTTTTCGCCGTGTTTGCAGACATTATTCATTCATTTTCAAATCTTTTTTTTTTTTAAGTTTTAAGTGCTTTTTTTTTCTTTTCCCACTTAATGTTTAAGGGCAGTTTTTTTTGGTGTAGTAGGAGCAAAGGCGCGGCAGTTGTGGCCATTGCCCAACGCCATGCAATCTGCAACTCACAGCATGCCTTATTTGGTGAAGAATAAGATTGAACTTCAATAAAGGTTTTTTACGGGAAGGTTTTCCATTTTTTTTTTTATTTTTTTTTTTAATCCGGTTATTTGTTTGGTTTTGTGACTTTTGTTTGTTTGCTGACTGATTGGCTGATTTGCTGATTGGTTGGTCTGTCCGCTACTTGGTCGTCTAACTTCTCTTGCATCGTCT